CTTCCTTCCTTCCTAATTTTGTGATACTTAGGACTGAATGCAGGGCTTTTTTAAAATCCAAGACTTTTACACTCAACTATATCCCCAGACCTTCAAAAATCTTAAAAATCACGTACAGGTACAAATTCTCTATGATGGATGCAATCATTATGAATATCTAAAATGTACCAATAAAATCTGACTGAAAAATAATTTTTAAAATTTTTGGTGGCAAATCTCTGTAATCCCAGCACCCAGCAGGCTGAGGCAGAAAGATTGTTGTGAGTTTGAGGCCAGTTTGGGCTACACAGAGAGACTCTTTCTCAAAACACAACAAAACAAATGAACAAACCCTCCCCCAAAATTTAAAAAAAACTGAAATTTTGAGATAAGAGTCTCTCTCTAAATTGCCCAGGCTGGGTTCATATTTATGGTCCTCCTGCCTCAGCTTCCTAGAATGTTGGGATTACAGGTGTGTGGCCACCATGTTTGGCTAGCAGTTTGTTTTTGTATAATGAAAATGTTCTAAACTTCAGTTAAGGTAATGGTTGCACAACTCTGAATGTATCAAACCATTAAATTGGGGTCCTTCTTCCCCTCCTCTTCCTTATTATTATTATTATTATTATTACCATTGCTGCTGTTATTACTTGCAGGGCTGGGCATGGAACACAGGACCTTGAGTATGCTAGCCAAGCACCCCATCCCTGAAATATACTCCCAGCCGTGAACCGGGCACTTTAGGTAAAGTGTACACTACATGAATTATATCACATTAAAATTATGTATGTATAAATGTACATGTGTATACACACCCATTCACTCACACACACCCACACACAGCCCTCTGCTCTCTGTGAGTTCCACTCTTTCAGATTCAACAAAGCACAGATTAGAAATATTTTTTCAACTAGAGGTAGGGGCTGGGGATTTAGCTCAGCGGCGCAGCGCCTGCTTAGCAAGTCTGAGGTCGTGAGTTCGATTCCTGGTACCAGAAAACAATAAAAACAAAAATAAAAATAAACTAGAGGTAGCAGCATGCACCGTCATCCCAGCATTCCAGGAGGTTGAGGCAGGAGGTCCCCAAGTTGGATGCCAGCCTACACAACTTAGTGATTTAATGAGACTGTTTCAAAATAAAAAGTAGGACAGGGCTGGGGATGCAGCTCAGTATGAAAGCCCTGGGTTCAATCCCCAGTACCAGAAAAAAAAAATCATTTGCATCAACACCAAACATAGACAGTCTTTTGTTGTCATCATTCCCTACACAAAAGGCCAAGTCCTGTCTGATCCCTCTCCCAGCAGCCCCTGGTACCGGGAAGAGGGGGCCTGGCAGAGAGAAGGGGGTGGCGGTTGGTCACTCACCCATGAGCTTCCCCGTGTGGACATCGACAGTGAAGCCTGGGACTTGATTCCCACACAGGACCTGGTAGTCGGCTGGTCAGAGGAGAACAGAGCTGCGGGCCGGGCCCGGGACCTCAGAGTCGGGGCGCAAGATCGGGGCAGGAGAGGAAGGCCAGCGTGGAGCTCACTGGCATCGCCTGACTTTCTGCTCAGTCCCCTGCCTGCATCTCTGGCTTAGCATGAGTACCTGGGTCTTTTGTTTTCCCTCCCCAGTACTGAGGATGGAACCCAGGGCCTTCGCACTGAGCTACATCCCCAGCCCTTCTTTTATTTCTTATTTTGACACAGGATCTTGCTAAGTCACTGAGCTGCCCAGGCTGAGCTCGAACTTGGCAATCCTCCTGCCTCAGCCTCCCAGAGTGCTGGGATTACAGATTTGCTGTAACTGGGCAACAGATTTATTGCCCAGTTTCCCTGCCTGAAACACCTCCCCTCACCCCGACTGCTGTTTGTTCAGGGACCGGGTCTTCCCCAGAGCACCCCCAGGTCCACCCCTCCCAGCCCAAGGCACCCCTGCCTGTCTGTCCCGCTGTAATTTCCTCCCTGGTCCCCAGAGCACGCGTGAGCTGCACTGATCGCCTCTGCGTGACTCCAAGAGCTTCCCCTCCGCCGCCAGCCCGCTGTCCACCGTGCAGCCGCGCAGTCTCCGCAGCGGAGGGAAGGCCGCCTGGTTCTCCGCAGGGGCCCCTCGGGGCTGGGCAGGGCCGCACCGCGAAGGGCTGGGGAGGGCGCTCACGGCTGGCGGGGCTGGGGCAGGCCTCGCAGGGTCTATTCCAGGCCTGGCCGATGTTGTAGGCGCAGCAGCACATCTTCCGGGTCACGTTCAAGGCCAGTTCGTTCCCACAGGTGCCATTATAGTGCCGGAAGCAGATGCTCTTCCTCATGTCTGCGGCAGGGGTGGTGGACAAGGGTTAGCGTGGGAAAGGGCTGCTTCTGGTCAGCGGGAGAGAGGGCCAAACAGAGGGAGATTCATCGTGGATCCACTTGGACATTATGGGCTTGCTGTCTCTCCCCTAACACACGTGGAAGTGCCACTCACAGCTTAGCCTTATTGGGCAGTGTACAACCTGGGCAACTGCTCAAAGGGCAGGTGTAGGCGCCTGAATCCTGCAGCCTTGTTCAAAGACACAGACTGGCACCTCGGATATGCCCACCCTTCTCCTCGTTTCATTCTCAAACACACCTCTGTCGCTTTCTTCAGCGTTCAAGGCCCCTACACAGTCCCTCCCGCACTTATGTGCTGCTCGAGCAGTTCCTGGTCCCGGTCCCCCCACCCCCACCCCCTACCCCCTGTTCACACACTTCTTACCCACGCAGCGGTTGCCTCCGTTGACTGGCAGGTACTCTACGGGGCAGATGCAGGTGTAGTTCCCCAGGGTGTTGTAGCACATGCCAGGGCCACAGATGCCCGCGTGTACAGAGCATTCATCGATATCTGAGGAGAGGGCAGGGCAGAGGGCGGTAGGCAGGTGATGTCCTGGAATCGCCTGAGAAACTTGCTAGCCAGACCCCAGCAGCTGCTGCACCACGGACAGCTTGTGTTCACGATCAGCTTGTGACCACGCAGGCATTTCGGTGACGTGGACAGATGGGATGCAGCGTTAAGTGAGAGAAGTTTACTGTGACACCACTTCTCCTAAAAGTGCGCTGGACTGAGAAAACTCCTACCCATCCTTCACAGCCTTACCTAAGCCAGGCGTGGTGGCACGCTCCTGTAATTCCAGCCCTCAGGGAGGCTGAGGCAGGAGGACTACAGATTTGAGCTCAGGTTGCGTGACCTAGCAATTTAGTGAGACCCTGTCTCAAAAAGCAAAACAAAACAAAACAAAAGCGGTGGAGATTTAGCTCAGTGCAAAGGCACTGGGTTCAATCAGCAGTACTGGAAGAAAAAAGAGGACCTGGTCTTATGAGGTGATTTTTGGATCAACAAGCAGTTGTTCTTGCTTGTCTCTGGGGACTATGTTCTGCGACCCCTGGTGGATGCTTGATACCATCAACCTCATACATATTGGTTTACTTCCTGATACACGCAGAGCTACAGTAAAGCTTAACCTCCAAACTAGACACAGTAAGGGTTTATCAACAATAACTACTAATGAAACAGAACAATCACAGTGTAATAAGTGTCACTTAAAACTTGCTTATTGGTATTGCTGTAACTTTCACACCCAATGTTATGAGATTGAGCTGGGTGTGATGGTGCGTGATTGTAAGCCTAGCACGAGGAAGGCTGAGGCAGGAAGATCTCAAATTTGAAATAAGCTTCGGCTATACAGAATGTCCCAGGGCACCCTGGCCTACAGAGCAAAACCCTGTCTCAAAAAACTAAAATAGGGGAGGGCTGGGGATGTAGCTCAGCAGCACATGTGCTTGTAGCACAGAAGCAGCCATAGACAACAGGTAAAAGAACCGTGGCTGCTGCCAGTGCTCCAAGGAAAGTTTAAGGACCCCAAAACCTCAATTTCGTGTGCCACAGAATATGATCTTGATTTTTGCCCCATCATGAAAGAAAATATAAAGAGTACTCTTAGCTGTGTACAAATAGGCAGTGGCATGATATGCTCAGAGTCATTTCAGCAAGAACGGCAGAGTAGAAATTACTGGGTTTCACCACTCTACAAAAGCAGGAAAAATAAAACAAAACAAAACAAAAAACATTTACAGAGCCCTGGGTTCCTGTTGGAAGGTGGCAATAAATAATCACACCATACTACAAGAGGAGAGTGTTGTGGGATTTCAAATGCCTTGAGCCATCTCCCACAACTCAGATCCACAGCGGCCTTGGGGCTCATCAAAGCATCTTAGTTCCTTTCCCGTTTTTGTTCCTGTAAACTTTTAAAGTCTTCCCCCCCCCCTCCGGTACCGGGAACCGAACTCACAACCTTGCGCTTGCCAGGCAGGCGCTTTGCCGCTGAGCTAATTCCCCAGCCCCTTTAAAGTCTTTCTTATACATGACTCAGCACAGTCACATACGAGGGAGCCTCAATGCAGTTAGCAGCCTATTTCTCTTCAGAAATCATGGAAGCCAGACAGCAATGAGCTGATGTAAACAGCTGGAAGAAAAGAACTTGTTGAACAAGGAATTCTAGAGCTGGCAAAACTGTCCCTCAAAGGAAGGAGCATGCAAGACAGGTTCAGAGAATTCTCTTATTCCCTACCCCACTTGAGGCCATTTTTTTGGTATTGAAAATGTTTTCCATTGAATATGTCCCCTGAAACAAATAGAAAACCTACCATTTTGTTTCATTTCATTTTATTTTAATTATTTTGAGACAGGGTCTTGCGATGCAGCTCAGGCTGGCCTCCATTTACCCACGTTGCTTACCAGTGCATGGAGGTGCACATTTTTTCTCTTTCTTATTTTCCTCTCACTGTTTTCCTGATTTTTTCTTTTGTTTCATTTTTTTCTTGTTTGTTCTTGTTTTTATGAATGTGAACACTGCTTCAAGATTTTTGTTGTTGTTGCTCTGTTCTGTCCTCATTTTTCTTTCTTTCTTCTCTCTTTCTCGCCTGTCTTCTTCACAAGTTTCCCAAATTCTGCAGTATCTTTCTTTGTTCTCCAGCCTTGCTTCTAATCTCTTCCTCTTCTTCCGTGTCTCTATTTTTCCCCCTAATCTCTTTTAAATTTTCTCCTCTGAAGGTAAAAATCATCATATTGTAGGTTTATTTACTGCGTGAAATTTTCTGGTTCGTTTTAGATTTTGCTAATAACCACAAACCTAGTTCAAATGGTTAAAGGTGGTAAATTACTGCTGACCTCAGAATGTGATTTTCTAGGCTGTCTTTGATGCTATTGTTATTGCTGATTGTACCACTTTAGCCAAAGTGACATAACTGTTCTAATCATAAAAAAATACTATAGGCCAGTGCCAAGAACCAGGGGCTGGACAAAGTAGGCAGCAGCTTGTCATCTCCAATAAACTGAAGAGGCAGGATCTTGCAACAGACTCAAAACCCAAAAACTAGCTACACCTGGGAGACACCTCTGAGAAGCAGTCATTTCCTAAGGGTTCTAAATACTATCAATAAAGCTATCTGAAATAGGCAATTTACAAGTATCAACTCAGAAACTAAACTAAAAAAGAAAGAAACAGAGAGAGAGAATGAAAGAAAGAAAGAAAGAAAAAGGAAGACAGAAAGAGTGAGAAGACAAATAAGATCCAACCCCAGGCTTCCAGCTCACCAAAGGCAAACCCAGGAAGAATGAGGTAGAGCAATCTGACAGCCACTCTCTGAAGTGGTAACAGCAGAAATAACAAAGTAGATGAAAGAGGCTTTAGAAAAAAATCAAATCAGAAATAACTTCTCAGATGACTACAGAGATGGTGACCACAATGAAAGACATGGCTAGTAACTCTAGAGCAGATTCAGATAAAAAATAGAGGCACTTAGGAAAACGGTGGAAATCATGAATGCCCCTGAACAGGAAAGAAATGGAATCCATGAAACATGTTCAAATAAATATCCAGAAAATTAAAAATTCCATTGAAAGTATACACAGCAGAATGAGTCAGGGTGAGGACAGAATTTCGCATACAGGAGACAGTATATGGTTAGCAATCATGAAAAGAAAGATTTCTTAAAGATAGCAAGGGATCATGAGAAATCCATCCAGCAGCTGCTAGATAATGCAAAGAAATATAACACAAGATTGATCAGAGCCAGGCATGGTGGCGTACACCAGTAATCCCAGCACTCAG